ACCATAGTCTCCCGCCACCTGATAGGCTTCGAGGTTTGCAACCGCCCACACAAACTTGCCGAGAATTGGCTGAGCGCTCAGTTTTGAAAATCGTAGATTTCGCCCGCGCTGAGCCGCCGGGTTGCTGCTCGGTGCAGAGGGAGCCATGCTCCCTCCTCCAGGACGTCAGGAGCTCGGTCTGCACAGGTTCTTCGGGCCTGAAGACCGGATTTTTACAGCTCTTCCCCTGCTCTGTGTTGCGAGCGACGTCTGGCTATGTAGCCCAGGCTGGCCTTGAACTCGTTGCGATCTTCCTGCCTCAGCCTTCTGAGTGCTGAGGTTACAGGTGTGTGCGCAGAGGGAGCCATGCTCCCTCCTCCAGGACGTCAGGAGCTCGGTCTGCACAGGTTCTTCGGGCCTGAAGACCGGATTTTTACAGCTCTTCCCCTGCTCTGTGTTGCGAGCGACGTCTGGCTATGTAGCCCAGGCTGGCCTTGAACTCGTTGCGATCTTCCTGCCTCAGCCTTCTGAGTGCTGAGGTTACAGGTGTGTGCCACCACGCCCCGCATCCCCGGAGCCTGACGCTGATTACCCCCTCCCCCCGCTCTAATTTACGGTGACCTTTTTTTCTTTGAGACGGGGTCTCACTATGTAGTTGAGGTTGACCTGGGTCTCACTATGTACCCTGTGTAGCCCAGGCTGGTCTCGAACTCACAGTGATCCTCCTGCCTCAGCTTCCCGAGTGCTGGGATTGCAGGCATAAGCCACCACGCCTGGCTTATGGTGACCTTGTTTTAAATGGCCAGGCTAAGGTCTCTTAAACTGTTCCTTATGGAAGAAGCCCAAGTACTTGTTTGGAATTTGCCGCTGAAGTGCTCATCCACGTCGCCATTTTGGACAGACTTTGAAGAGTTACCCCAGCATTGCTGCTCTCCTCAGCCCCTCTGCAAACCTTTGACTTCCCTGAACAGTTTTCCTCCTTGTTGGCCTTGAGTTGAGCTTGCGCTCTGCTGAGGTCTAGGTGCAGGTCTTGGTGTGACTCGGTGCCAGCTGAGGCCCTGCCCTGATCCGTGCCACCTTGGCATGAGGGTGGTGGCTGTGTCGGCCTACCCTAACCTGTGTCCTACCTATCCTGTGTGTGGCGAGTTGTCTTGGCGTCTGGCTGTGGTGATGGAGGGTGCTACCTGCACCCTGGTGCAGGGCTCCCTGGTGGGCAGGTTAGTCCCCTCTGCCCGCCCGTCCTGTGCAGGGCTCTGGGCTGTGAGTGAGCAGCAGGACAGCAAGGACCGGCCCTCGTGTGGCAGAGACTGGCCTTAAGCAGCCTATCAGTCAGGTGCTCTTCGGAGAACTGAGGTTGATGGGAGAGAGTAGGGCCAGGGAGTAAGAAATGGTCTCGTTTGTCCAGGACCTGGGTCCCACCCCCAGGGAATAGGACTCCAGAGGCAGCGGAAGCTAGGCTTTTAATCCAGAATTCTTGTAAGAGTGGTGTCTGTAGAGACAGGCACCCTCCAGCTGTGAAGCTGTGTGTTTCTATTACTAACTGCCTCATCTCCCATGGCCTGGGATCTGGGGTTGAGTATCCTGAACAATAATCTACTTCATCCATACCACCCCCACACTTTTTTTTTGGTATCAGGGATGGAACTCAGGACCTTGAACTTGCCAGGCAGGTGCTGTGCTGCTGAGCTGCATCCCCGGCCCACCCCCCTTATCCCCTCCTCCCCTGTATTATTCTTTGTAGTCATCTCTATCTAGCCTGTTGGCCTCCCAGGATTGGGGACTTGTTTAGCAGCTACCTTATTACCCCAGAATGTTATCTCTGGTGCGAGTCTGTACAGCCTGGCTCCCTGTCTGCCTGGTGTCTGAGCTAAGAGTCAGGGCTTATTAGAGCGGTTCATGAAGTGTGGGCCAATTAAGGATATTTTTACCTCTTACAGGGGCTGCTTTAGGTTGGTGGTCAGGCTTCCCTGAGGGTCCCTGAAGTCCAAGTATGGAAGCCACACAAAGTAGGAGTAAGAGTTTTCCAGATGGAGGGCAGAGCTAGTCCGAAAATGAGGACAGTATGCCTAGAAGTCAGGCCCCGGGGTGCCCTGAGGCTGCAGCCTGACTTGGTGTCCAGGGCCTGCCATCCCGGGCACAGGCTGAGCTGGGCACAGTGCCCCTGGGCCATGGCATTGTGGGTTAAGGTGGTGGGTCCTGTTCCCCTGCAGGCGTGCAGTCCATGATGGGTGACGGCCACCGGCCACTCCGGCTCACTCATTCCTGGCTGAGCCCTGCTGTAACTGAAGGAGTACTTCCCCCAGACTCGCTGTGGCGTATAACCGGCCCTTGAGGGTGCTGAGCTCTGGGGCTTGAGAAAGACCACACTTGTTCTGCGTTTTTCCTCGCTTGGCTCTTTTTGTTGTTGTTGTTGTTGTTGTTGTTGTTGTTGTTGTCTTTTTGAGACAGGGTCTCTGTAGTTGAGACTGACCTGGAACTCACTATCACTATGTAGCCCAGGCTGGTCTCGAACTCACAGCTATCCTGCCTCAGCCTCCCGAGTGCTGGGATTATAGGCTTGCGCCACCACGCCTGGCTTCTCGCCTAGTTCTTGTAGGAAGGTTTTCCTAAAAAACGAGACACCACTTATCTGCTCCCCGACAGCACCCTCCGCAGGTTGTGGGTGCCTTGGAGAGCTCGTCTCTGTATCCCCCATCTTCCTCGCCTGCGCCATGGTACGCAGCCAGCTCTGCTCGCTGCTCGCGAGCAGGTGCTTGTGTCTGGGCTCCTGTGCATGTAACACAGTGTGGCTGCATCGTTCTTCACTGCCCATGAGTGCAGAGCAGGCACAGGCTGCCAGGGCTGGCTGAGGTGGCTGCTGTTTCTCCCTAACCAGGAAGCCAGTGGCTATGCGGCCCCCAAAGTCTTGTCTGTAAGGTCGGTCGCTGTGAGTGTGCCTCGGAGGGCTTTGATGGTGTAGTCGAAGGCCCTTCCTGTGGACGTGGCTTGGGGCTCTGTGACTGGTGAGGGCCCTGGTCCCAGCACTGGGTACCTGGCAGTGGTGCAGGGATGGGGCTGTGGCCCAGCAGCTCTTCCCCCAGGGAAGGTCCTGGGACCCACCCCTGAGCCCTGTGCTCTTGTCCCTGCTGTCGTTAGACAGAGCCACCATGGGCACGACAGCCCCAGGGCCCATTCACCTGCTGGATCTCTGCGACCAGAAGCTCATGGACTTTGTGTGCAACATGGACAACAAGGACTTGGTGTGGCTCAAGGAGATCGAGGAGGAGGCTGAGCGCATGTTTACCAGGTGACGGGTGGGGTGTCACGGCCCCCCTTTCCTGCCTGACAGCCCAGAGCTCCTTCCCGAGTGCCCTGTGCAAGGGTGTCTCTGGCGGAAGTCCTGTCTGCCGGCAGGGGCGGGCGCCTGGCCACCCTGGGGCAAGTGGGGAGGAGGGCAGGCTGGTGGGCGCAGACTGGCAGTCCCCGGGAGCCTCGTGTGTCGCCCTTCTTGTACCAGAGAATTCAGCAAAGAGCCGGAGCTAATGCCCAAAACGCCTTCCCAGAAGAACCGCCGGAAGAAGAGACGCGTTTCTTATGTTCAGGATGAAAACAGGGACCCCATCCGGAAAAGGTGGGGGCCGTGGGAGGGCAGCCGGGCAGGTGGTCTCTGCAGGGAGTTTGGGATGTGAAGCGTTCAGGTGGCGTAGTGGGGTGTGTGTGTGTGTGTTGGGGTGTCTGGCCTGGGCCTGGGGGAGGGAGAGACTTGCAGGCTAGAAGAGGGAAGCCCGCCTTCTGTCAGTTGGCTGTGATCCAAAGTGAGCAGGTGCCCAGCGCCCACACTTGCTGCTGGGCTGGCATCCGCAGATGGGTGGCACCCGAGGACCCTGGAGCAGATGCGGGGCCAGGGCCAGGAGTCGGGTGGTCCTGGGTGCAGACTCCAGCCCTGCTCTTGGCAGCTGTGTCTGTGGGTTGAATCCCCGAGAGCCCATTCCTCGTCCCCCAAAGTGGGGAAGACGCTGCCTACCGCTGGGTCTGTTGGGCAGGTGACGGAGCTGGGGACACTCACCCAGGCAGCTAAGGTCCATGTGGCTCTCCGTCCTAGCGGTTGCCAGGGAGACCGAGGCTCCGAGTGGCCTTGTGGCGGGAGGTGTCGGAGCTTGTGCCTCCAAGCCCTGTGGTTAACACTCCATCGGGCTGGGGGGTTCACTGCCCCATCTTGTTTCAGGGTGGTCCTCCCGTGTGGGCTCCCATCGTCCCATTGCCTTGCAGGTCTTCCCGCAGGAAGATCCGCAGCGGCCGGCTGAGCTCCCAGCACCTGCGAGGCAAGGACAAGGCGGAGAAGCTGGCTGCGGTGGTCGGGGAACAGGGCTCTCCCATGCTGCTGCGGAGGGTGACCCGGGCAGCCGCTGCCGCTGCCGCAGCCAGCAGGGTGTCAGCTGTTCCCTCACCCGCCCTGGAGCCCCCTATGGACCGGGCCAGGATGCCCGTGGTAGAGATTGGCACTGCTGAGCGCCATAGCGCCGAGCAGTGGCTTGCCCGGCTCACGGCCGTGCCCCCGACCTCAGCTGCAGCCTCACAGGGTGCCCCAGCCTTGGCCGAGGAGCTGACACCAGACAGGCCAGGCACCAGGAGACTGGAGTCTGTCACCGTGAGTGCCCTGGTGAGCACCCCGCAGGGCCCCAG